GATCTCTTCCTTCCCCAAAAATTCAGTTTAATAAAGTTGAGAAACAGGACGTTTAGAAGTTACAGTTACGTTTCGTTTCGTTACGTTACGTTACGTTACGTTACGTTACGGTAACAGTAACAGTAACTTCTTTTACAAAAAAAAATAAAAAATAAAAAATAATAATAAATATATACATAAAAATATTATTTGTATTGAATAATTTGTGAGAAATATCATTTTTTATGTTTCAAATATACTTGTCGTCGGAATTCCATAATTACGGCAAATTCGGCATTACGTATTAGCCGTAAATGTTTTTCAGCATGAGACCTCAAAGTCATAAAAGTCGTAAACCGTAAATGCTGTTAATGCTGTAAATCCTAATACCATAATAGTACTGTAACACCTAATACTAGGTTGTTAATGGAACATAATGGGTTGGTTTGGGTTCATATTATTGTGGAGCAAGGGTTAACCCAACCAACCCGGTTAAATTTATTGGGTTAATACTCCATGGGTTGCTCCAGGTTACTCTGGATACTCGTGCAGATCACTCATGAGTACTACAATCAGTTGCAATTCAATTTTCATATGCTGCAATTAGTTGCAACTAGTCGCAATTAATTGGGGAGCCATATTTAGCAGACTACTTGAAGTTTATTTATTAATTAAATTTATTCAACAATTTATCCGAACTTTATCCATTTATTAATATTAATCAATTTGTTCAGTAAATGCTCAGTCATTTATCCGAGCTTTATCCATTTTATTAAAAAAACACGGAAATGGAAAAACACTAACCTCGGAGTAAATTTTTACAGGGCTATGAATCAGTGAAATGTCGATTCCCTTTAACTATTAAAAAACGGAGGAAATTATCTTACTACAAAAACATCCTCTACATCTCCATCACATGATAAAATTTTAAATAAATTTTTTTGGAAATATTTATTTTCTATTTCATTTTTGTTTGTTTTTGAAAAAGATCTAATTACACCTTTTCTCACATAAAGCACTTATGTCATCATTTTGTTTTTTTTAAAGTTTGAAGTTTTAAAAATAGTTTCGGAGTTCGAAATAATTTTATTGGAATAAAAGCTCAATCATTTGATGTAATACAGAAACTCCGATTAAAAATAATTATACGCTCGTTTTTGTTGTTATTTTTAATAAGTTACATAAACGTAAAAAACTTTTTTATATATGAAATACCTCACTCATCTCTACATCCCCAAAAGTAAACCTCTTTTTTTTCGATATTCTTAAAAAATAAATGTATAAATATTTTCCTTGACATTTGTTTCATAACTTAAAATAAAAAAATAAAAATTTTTATTGTACTAAATTATAGTACCATTTTTTTATATACAAAGTCGTCAATTAATGAAATTGAAACATTTTTCCTCCGCCAATCCTTATTTAGAGTTCACCGATTCATAGACGGATCGTCAATTGAAAATTTATGAATTTCCGAAATTTTTATTCACTAGAAGATCTAGATAAAATATGACAGCATCCTTTGACACAACCATGCCACAATGAATGCAAAAAACAACCCCGACAGTATTCTGACTAATATCTAGGTTGGCAACATCACCTGTTGTTCCATTGCAGATTTCTTTGTCTATGACCAACTATGTTTGTTATATTCTTAATTTGATGTTGATTATATTGGCTTAATTTTCAATTTAAAATAGTGTTGGTCACCAATAAAGTTGATGTCTGGAACTGTTTTCACATTTTCTGGGACGACAAGGCACAGGAAATCGTGGCTAATGCCTGTTCCCAGTCCTTTTCAATATTTGTTTACAAATTTTAGAAAAAGGACAGGCGCGGGACAGGTATTTTATGATAAAACATAGAAAAGGACAAGCGAAATCAAGGGACAGGTTGTGGCGAATGTGACTCTGTCCCCCGTCCTTTCTGCTTAAAATCTTTTATTTATTATATTGTAAAATGCGCAATATAAAATGTTTATTTAATATTAATAAAAAACACATAAATATTTATTTCTTTATATTATTTTTTGACTTGATCTGCTTGCTACAACGAACTTCTTGTTTAATTATGTTTAACAAAAAAAGGAATTTTCCCCGATCTGCAGATTAAGTAAATGAATTTGGATACGAAGTTCCGATTGGCTAATTTTTGAATTTCACCAAATTCACGCACAAGTAATAAAATTATCATCCTACATAATAAAATATTTTTGGAAACAGATTTTTTACTTTCGTTAGACGTTTGATTCAAAGAATCTGATTGGACTTTAGTTATTTTGATTCTTTGTAAAATCAAATCAAAATGGAATAATAGTATTGAAACTTTCTTTATGATTCAATTAAATAAATGTCAGTTGCTTTTTTTAAAATATATAAAAAGTGTAAACTAACATTGTTACAATTTTACAAATTTTTGTAAAATTTGTTTAGTTTAGAGATAAAAAAATTCAGGAATTAATTTTTATTATTATTCGTTTGAAATAGAGTTGTTGGTCGAAACGTTTTGAGCTTTGTCGAAACGTTTCGTCATTCAACATTTAGGCATGTCGAAAGTCTAAAGTGATGTCGAAAGCCTAAATTGATTGATCACATCAAAGTCCAAATTGATGTTGAAAGTCTAAATAATGTCAAAATGCCTAAATGTTATTGAAACAAAATGCCTAAATATTGTCAAAATTATAAAATATCTAAAACTGTTATTTACCATCTTCTCTTTGTAAATAATCTAAATAATCTTGTGATCTTAATACCTCTTCCATTATGAAATGTACATACTAAAAAATTTTTTAATTAATCATAATTATCAATATAAATTACAATAAAAACAAAAATCTATTTCCTTATAACATCTTGGGAATAATTTGCAAAAAAAATCACTAACTTTATATTTTTCTATGTTAAAGATTGAATTGAATGTTGGAAGAAATAATTAAATTTCCTTGGAGATCATGTGTTACAGTGAAGTTACATTGTATCAATGATAAAAGATGAACGCAATCGATATTTTTAGTGTATATACAATTAATCAGCTAATTTCAAACAAAAAAAAACCCGCATTATTTTATTATTATTAAAAAGTTGGCTCCCATTCTCAAATTACTAATACTAATATTATTGGTGGTTCAAATAGTCAGTTTTATGCATTAATAATTATTTAGAGACAAATATTTAGACTTTCGACATCAATTTAAACTTTCGACATCAATTTAGACTTTCGACATTTCAACACGTTTCGACATTACGGCAAATCAAGTGACCTTGTATTCGACAGTCGAAATGCCTAAATGTTTGTCGAAACTATACCTTTCGACTAACAACTCTAGTTTGAAAATTTCAAAGAGGAGATGGGGCCTTGGATCATCATAATTGAAGTAAAGTTAAATAAGTAGTATGACTATTTTAGGTATAGCAGAAGTTTTTTTATTATCCAAATCAGGTAAAGTAATTTTTATATGAATTATGGTATGCACGTCATATAAAGCGGCCTGAGTGGGTCATCATAATTGAATGACTACCCAACCCGAACCCGTAAAAATTTATAATTTGCAACCCGAACCGATTTGTACATAAAAAGTTTCAATCCAAACCCGAACTTGACCCGTTTTTTATTATAAATAAAAAGTATTTTTAAAAAAAAATTGCTTATAGAAATACTATCAATTATTTGTGGATTTAAATTTGAACAAATCTCATTAACTATAAGTCCGGCCACACTAAACTCTCTTTCGCTAGGTGCACTGGAAGATGCGGTTAAAAGATAGTAGGCAGTAAGCCTTGAAAGTCTTGGATAAATATGTTGATGGTCTTTCCACCATTCTAAAATATTAAAGTGATCATCTTTTTTTTACTATTATTGTTACAATCTGAAATTTTCCCCCAACCAACTTTCCAATTTGAGTAAGATTTATTTTTTCTAGCTTTTATCATATAATTTATGTGTAATCCTGCTATATCAATTTCTTGTTCTGATACATCTTTATGCATATATAAAGTAATTGATTTTGCACTTTCTTTATATGATTTTAAAATGTTAAAGTTTTAGATTATATTGATATTGATATGTAAAATTATTATATGCATATATAAACTTACTCATGTTTCCAGTAATTACTTTTTTCTTTCCAACTGTGTACTCTGAATTCCAATTATAATTAATCTACGCATTGATAAAAATGATAGTTAATAATAATAATATATAGTAATATATGTATATATATATATATTTATTTATATTATTATTACTATTAATTATATTATTATTTACCAAACATTTATCCTCATCATTTAAATATAGACAAATAACTCTATCACTGATTTTTTCAATTCCTCCTAAAACTCTAAGAGGGATAAAAACTTGCCCACCCTGTACCAAGTACAAAGCCAATTTTTGTTCTGAATATTTATATCGAAATTTTGGTAATCCAACAGATTTATTGTTATTATAAGATTTGTCTAGTTTGTTGGTTTCTTGAAATGAATCAATTTCTAGTAAAGCCAAGTGTAATTGAATAACTGGTGATTTTGCCTTCCATGAACATATATAACTTGCATATGGTTTATGAATTGGCATTTTTGTAATACTAGTATCAGAATCATTATTATTAATTGTTGTTGTTGATGATGATGATGATGATCTTGTTGTTGTTGTTGTTGTTGTGGATGAAGATGAAGATGACCTTTGATTGTAGAAAGCTTTTGTTGGTGGTGGTAGCTGTTGTTTTTGTGGTGGTGGTGGTGGTGGTGATGATGATGATGAAAATGATGAATATGACTGTTGATGATTTGAATGATAATAAAATTTTGGTAAATTGTAGTTGTTGTTATAATCCATAATATTACTGTCATGATAGTTAAGCTTAATATTAATTTTATTAATATTATCAATATTTAAATCATCATCATTATCATCATAATTATCTTTAATAATAATATTATTATTAATATTTGCTATAGCTGTTTCTTGTCCTTCTTTAACTATAGTTGTTACCTCATCATTTTCTTCTAATTCTTCTTGTTGCTGTTGTTTTTGTTGTTTCCCATCATTATTACCATTACTAATTTTGTAAATATAATTTTCTCTCTTTGCCTGTTAAAATTTTATTTTATTTTATTTTTTTCCCAAATATTGTTATTAAATAGACTATTATCATTATCATTATCATCATCATCAAAAAATACAAACCTCCATATTTTTCCTTTTTCAACCCTTTGGGAATTTTTTATTTTTTTTTTTGGAGATAAATTTTTATGCAATCACCACTCGCCACAAAATAATTTTATATAAGTTTTCTAACGCCACAATTGTATAACACATCGTCTTGACATGAAGAGTGTGAGCCAATATTTAAAAATGATAAAACTTTAGTATTTCTTGCTAATTTTGGAAATCTTTTGATTTTTTTCCCACGATACTTAATAATTGAACTCATAAAAAAAAGCCCATCAAACAATCTCTCGAATTTTTATAACGCCAGTATTAGAAACTTCAAAAAGAAAAAGTTGAAATTTTTGAATGCCCGCCCATCCAATCAAATTATTTAATTATTTGAAAAGTTTAATTAAATTTGGGGTGGGTGCTTGAATACAAATTCTGATTGGCTAATTTGAATTTCACGCGCGTGAATTTCAAAATTGACGCAGATTTCAAATTTCACGCACAACAGAAATATTTCATTTGAAAGTGATCTAAAATATTGGATCTGAATCTGATCAGAAATATCTTATTTTTATGAATTAAAGAAATTATTTTTTAAGGTTTAAGCGCTTCTTCGAGCACGCAGAGACAACCTAGATTTAGAGCAAGCGATACATTTCTGGCATGAGAATGAATTTTACAGACATAAGATGCTGGTCGGTGAGTTGTTGCTAAATTTTTATCATTAAAAATATTTGCATCGAAAAAAAAGATCAAAGCTCTTCTACATCAAAATTTGTCAACCCAACAAGCAATGATGTATGACGAAACTTTTGACTTTAGTAACTAAAGTATTGGCTAAAGGTAGTTTCTCATCAGGATCATTTTGAAGATTTGACTAAAGTAAAAGCCCTTGACGCAAGTAAACTATTTGATGTAAGTAGGAACACTTGATGCAAGTAAAAACGCTTGATACAAGCAGCAATAATGATAATGATAAAATATGATTATCAAAAGTGTAAAATGTGTGTCCCGAGGATGAATAAAGAATTATTATATCATTGTATGTATATTGCGTTATCAAAAATAAATATCATGGGAAGTTTACAAATGTTATATATAATTTGAATTAGAACTTTTACTACATATTTTTTACAAATTAAAACCATTCCTTTATTATTTTAAATTTTTGACTTTGAAGTTAGCTACACATAATAATAATACGCAAATAATATAATAATATGCTTGAACAGTCTTTGGTGTAGGTTGATCAATATTGGTACTTGGAACGACCTTTACATAGCACATAAGACAGATTTTGATGCATGTTTTAATTTTGTTTTCTATTTTCACACGAACTGCCTTTAAATCTTTTAAACTTTTTTGAGTGACTTCTTTTGCTCCGCATTTACTTTTTTTTTTTTTGCTTCGAAAAATTCATTGTTTATATTTAAAAAATGCAACAACTTGTTCATAAAACGAATGTAATATTTGTTTTTTATTATAAAAAATGTTTCAACATTACTTAATAGATTATCTAAATAAAATATGAGTTATACATCTAATGCCTATAAAATACAGTGTGTCTATTAATGTAGATTAATATATATACCAAGGCCACAAAAATTGGTTCGTTACTTATGGAAGGACGAAACTGAGTCTTGTTTGTGATTGATTTCATCTGAGTCTTGGAGCAATGAAACTAGGATCCGATGAATTTAGAAAATGTAACTGAATTAGTCAACAATGCTCATAGTGAAATGTGTTTTTTGTTATACTTGTAGGCCAAGAAGAAAGGTATAATAAATTTGATATATTTTTAAAAAATGAACGCCAACAATTTGATTTGCAACTTTTCCTCTATTTCCACTAACAACAACTGCCGCATTTATCATTGATTTTACCAATTATTATTAAAAGCAACAAGTCTAAACTCTGTCCGTGACGGGGGTATTTATTAATTTGCGGATCTTTTCGTTCGTCTTAATTTTTTGTCAAGTCAAGATACAACAATTCTTATAAAAACAATTATTTTACTTGATATGATATATAAAAATCAATAATTTCAATTGTACATGGACCGGTGTTGGTTAGTTTCAGTTTCGCCATAAGTCGAAATTGGTTTTGACTTTTGACTTTTGATTAGTTTTGACATATAACCTTTAATTTTAGTTTTGACTTTCGCCTCTTCAAAATAGTTTTGGCGACCAACACCAAGGTTGATTTAAATAAAAATAAAACAAAACTAAAACTCAAGGCATTTAAAATTTTTAGATAAATCCTTTGACACAACCATGTCACAACAAATGCAAAAACAATCCGATAGTATACTGATTAATATTTAGGTCGGCGACATCACCTATTGTTCCATTGCAGATTCCTTTGTCAATTAATTGAATACTAATACATGACACAAGCTTCCTGTTTCATTTTTGAATAAATTTTCGTATCGGTTGATTCCATATTAATGTTTATTATCAAGCTTGTTAACAGCTTCACTGATCCAAAATTTATCTTTTTCAGAACATTTTGTACATTTTGTCATCAATGATAGATGAGACACGTCTCGGGGCTGTTTTCATCCAACCTAACTACACCTTTACCATATCCTACCAAGAATTGACCTCCTCTAATTTGTTAAATATATGCATAATTATTGACATGGCGAAGGAATCAATGGTGTTTTTTTAGGTTTCTAAAGAATAAAACTTTTATACGGGAAGAAATATTGGTTTTTTTTTTTATATTAATTTAAAAAAATGAAAACTAAACATTGTTAGTTTCCAATCGTTTATATCAAATTAGTTGAAAATAATTTTTAAAGTAATCACAAGTAAATATATATAAAAAAAAATGAAATTTTTATTTGTTAAAAAGTATTTCAGTCGACCATGGATATGAGTTAGTTGTCATCAATTCTATCACTATTATTAATTCTATCGTTATTATAGGTAAAAAAAAAGATGTCAGCTGGTAAAGTAGTCGCAATACTTGGACGATAATTGGTGCAAAAAAAATATTATGAATTGATCACATGATTATGGTTTGCAAATCCATTATAGTGGTCTCTCCCTATATCGGTATTTTTTTGCCGAACAGAAGGACCGTTGTAGAGAGAGTGTGTTTAATGTGTTTATTGTTGGAATCTATGATAAATTTTGATCTATATATCTATCTATAAGTTTTGGATATACAAATTTATTAATATGCGTTTAAAACCTTAAAGGGAAATATTTCTTGTTGGTAATGATGTTTGACAAAATGTTGCCAAAGTTGTAAAACTATCACGTCAAATTCGCTGCCATTAAGTCAAAAATGACGCAAGTAAAATTGCTTTAAAGCGCTCACAAAAAAAATTATGAATGAATATTCCAAGGTTCTTTTAATATTTTTCTTGTGTATCCCAATCTCTTTGTTTCATCAGTTGTTCTCAAGGAGCTAAGTTTTTCTTTTGCTAAGACATGCTCGTGATAGTTAAAATCATCAGTACTTTATGTTCTAGGTCAACTAAATTTTAATTATTATTATCAAATTACTGTGTAAATAATTATGAAGCTTTTATAATAATAATCCCATCTTTTATCTTTATTGTATTAATTGATAACTCGCAGAGGATAATTAAAATAAAACTCTGATAGAATCATTATTTTTATTAAATAAAATTAATCATTAAAAATAGTGTTTTTATTTTCTTTGTTTAAAGCGCTTTGATAAAAGCAACAAGTGTAGTTAGTGCCTTGGTAAAAGGTAACCAATCATGGCGCTTTGGTAAAAAGTCACATTTATTTGCTTTTGTGAGCAAGCAAGCAAGTTAGGTTTAACGTTGGTTAAATAGTAAGTGTTAACAATTATTAGTAACATAATTTGCTTTGGTGAGTAAGCAAAGGTTAGGGTTAACGTGGTTAAATGGTGGGTGTTAATGAAGCATCGTCCAAAGGTTAATTGGAAATACTGGTAATGTTATTGTAATTGTAAATTTAAGGCTGTTAAACAAGCTACTTGAGTTGTTTTGCAAGTAAACCAAAGCGAGTTCAATAAATGTAAACAAATAAATCAATCACAGCGAATAAAAAGAAATTTATAGAAGCCCTTGAGATTTGTAAAGGGCCGTCTTTATTTATTTACAGTTATTTGGTACCATTAAGTGTGCTCACAGATTCGTCTAAGTACAAGAAAGAGGGAACTAAAGTAAATCTGTAAACTAATTAATTGACAAGTACTGAATTATTTGAAATTAACTGACAAGAGTAGCCCAAAAGTCAGGCCATCATTGTTGATTAACCGAAACGACCCACAATTTAAGAATCAAAAAGTTTATTATTCAAAACATTATTTATAATTTAGATTTAAGAAATAAAATAAAGATAAAATAAGAAGTCAAATAATTATTACAAATAATTCATAGTGGAGATTAAATTGGTCATTCATTGGTTCCTTCTTTTAATTATTAGAATCAGGTGCAATCAATGTAAATAAAAAATATTGTTAGTAATAATTAATGAATAGTTCTAATTAATTAATTAATAATAAAAATTTTATTCACCTTCAACATTTAAGAGAAGAGAGCTAAGACCAAGACTATTCAATGAACTATCATTACTTGTATAAATTTTCAAGCTTTTTGATTTAGTAATCTCTTCATCTAATATTCTACTTGTATGGTATGCACCTGGGTGTGATTTGTGTGCTTGTTGCGAAGCACCACTATTATTATTTTTAATAATTTCTTTACGTTAATTATCTCTAGCAAATCGATAAAGCTCTCTACTAGTTGGTCTTTTTGATGGATCCACATCCCAACACCTCTGCATCATTTGCACATAATCATCAGGCATTTCAGGTAATATTGGTGGTCGTAAACCTTCTGTACATATATCAAAAATCAAACAATGATTGTGAGCTCTGTCATCAAATGGTGAATGACCTGCAAATATTTCCCACAATAACATCCCAGCACTATAGATATCTGATTCTTTGGTGTTCTTTTTGCCTCCAAGTACTTCGGGTGCAACATATGGTACAATTCCATAGACTTTATCGGATGATTTTTCATCAACTGGTCCACATAATCCCAAATCTGTAATAAAACATCTACCACCTTGCACAAGTATATTACCACTATGTAAATCACAATGGATTAAATCCTTTTCATGTATATCATCTAATGCATAACATAAATGATAAAATATTCCAATTCTGTCTTTTAATGTTAAATTTAAATGATTTTTTTGTAAATAACCCCTTAAACTTCCCTCTGAAGCATAAGATAAAACTATTGCATAATTTCCATTATCTGGGAATTTGGTTACACCATAGCAAGGATTAATCATGTGTGATTTAATTTTATAATAATTCATTGCCTGAAATTGAATAAAAAAATCAATTAGTATTGTATAATACAGTATTGTTTTAATGACAACTACCAACCTCATCAAAAAAGCCTTTTCCTGGGTTACTTGAATCATTTAAAATCTTTAATACTACTAATTCCCCTCTACCTCCAAGATAATTAAATTCCTTTTTATTTTCGTCATAATCAACTATTCTTCCTCTTATCCATGTAGCAGCATAAATTGAACTAAATCCACCTTCTGTCAACTTTGTTATATCATCAAATTGCTCAAAAGGTATCCATTCTAAAATGAAGTTTGGCAGAGATGATTTCATTTGAGATTGTTGAATAAAGTTATCAACTATGTTATTTCCAGAAGTCCAAGTGGTGAAAAGACTCTGTAATTGTAAACTAATACAACCTTCACAGAACCTATCAGAGTATTTTGTCAATTTACACTTGTTACATTCTTT